CGCCTTTAAGAGAGACTCCTGGGCATCGTGTACTTTGTCCCTTGTCCCCTCGGCGCCGACGTGGCCCAGAGGAAAATTCCTGCCCGGGTGAGGTGAGGTGAAGTGAGGTGAGAACCAGCTCGGGGGTGGGGAAGGGGAAAGGTGTTGGGGACCCCCCCGTGGGACATGGCAGGGGGTGACAGTCACCGCATGCGTGACAGGGACCGGGGGTGATGGCGGAGAGCAACGGGCTGGAGCGTCCTGGTGTGGATAAAGAAGCCGGGGAGGAATTCCTAAAGGAAGCCCTCCAGATCCTCCTGGATGAGGCCGTACGGAAGGGGACGGATGTCACCGAAAAGGTGGGTGACAGGCGGTGCGAGGTGGCAGGGACAGGGCGGGGGGTGTCCCTGTCTGGCCGGGACCCGATCCTCTGTGTGTGGGTGTGTGTGTGTGGGTGTGTGTGTGTGTGTGTGGGTGTCCCCTTCTTCTCCCCACAGGTCTGTGAGTGGAAGGAGCCGGAGGAGCTGCGGGAGCTGCTGGACCTGGAGCTGCCGAGCCGCGGGGAACGGGCGGAGAAAGGGTTGGAGCGTTTTTTGCCTGTCGGTGATCCGGCACAGCGTCCGCACCGGTCAGCACCCTGCCAACCAGTTTGACCCCCAATTGGTTCCAGTTCAGCTCAGCCGGTTCTGGTTTGAGTACCGGCCGGTCCCGGTTTGGTACCAACCGGTCCCAGTTCAGCCCCAAGCTGGTGCAAATTCAGCCCTGTTGCCCCGGCTGGTCCCGGTTCAGCTGGTTGCAGTTCAGCTGGTCCCAGTTCAGCCCGGTTGGACCCAGTTCAGCCCCAGCTGGTCCCAGTTTGGCTGGTCCCAGTTTGGCCCTGGCTGGTCCCAGTTCTGCCCCAACTGGTCCTGTTTCAGATGGTCCCAGTTCAGCCCCAGCTGGTGCAAATTCAGCCCAGTTGAGCCCCAGCTGGTCCCAGTTCGGCCCCAGCTGGTCCCAGTTCAGCCCCAGCTGGTCCCAGTTCAATCCTGGCTGGTCCCAGTTCAATCCTGGCTGGTCTCAGTTCAGCTGGTCCCATTTCAGCCCCAGCAGGTCCCAGTTTGGCCCCATCTCATCCCAGTTCAGCCAGTCCCAGGTTGACCCCAACAGGTCCCAGTTCAGCCCCAGCTGGTGCAAGTTCAGCCCAGTTTGTCCCAGTTAGGCCCCAATGGGTCCTGGTTCAGCTGGTCCCAATTCAGCTGGTCCCAATTCAGCCGTAGCTGGTCCCAATTTGGCCCCGGCTCATCCCAGTTTGGCCCCAGCTGGTCCCAGTTCAGCCCCAGTTGGTCCCAGTTTGGCAGGCAGCAGCTGGGTGCAAGGCAGCCCCCCTGCCCCAGCCAGTCCCCGTTCCCAGGATCACAGGTCCGGTATGTCCCCACTCATGTCCCCATCACACGCACAGGTCCGGACATGTCCCTGTCCCACACAGAGCTCCGGCGGTGGCCCCACTCCCACGGGTGACAGTTGCCCCGTTGTGGCGGCGTCCCCAGGCCCCGAATCCTGGTGGTGACGGGGGTCCCCTGAGGAGGGGGCCGAGGGGGTGGCTCCTGTCCCCCCTCCCCTCACGCTGTCCCCGTCTTGTCCCCCACCAGGTCACCCTCGCTTCTTCAACCAGCTCTTCTCCGGCCTCGACCACCACGCGCTGGTGGGACGCTTGATCACCGAGGCCCTCAACACCAGCCAGTACGTGCCCCAAAATAGTGGGGGGGGTTGGCCCTGAACGGGCGTGTTTTGGGGTGCTGAGGTTATGGGGGAGCCTGGACAGGGTGGGTTGGGGGTCTGGACCCCCGCCTTGGGTGCCGTGTCCCCCTCCTCTTGGGTGTCGTGTCCCCCCTATGGGAGCTGTGTTCCCCCCATAGATACACCTACGAGATCGCCCCGGTTTTCGTGCTGATGGAGGAGGTGGTGTTGGCCAAGCTGCGGGAGCTGGTGGGCTGGAGCAGCGGCGACGGCATCTTCTCCCCAGGTACCCGCATCGCTCCCGGCGGCTTTTCCTCATCCCTGTCCCCGTCCCCCACCCCGGTGGTGGCTTGTCACCCCCGTCTGTGACGCGGTTGTCCCCGTCCCCCTGGCAGGAGGCTCCATCTCCAACATGTACGCCATGAACGTGGCCCGGTTCCACCGCTTCCCGGAAAGCCGACAGAAGGGCAACTGGGCTCTGCCGCGCTTGGCCCTCTTCACCTCCCAGGAGGTGCGGCGCGGGGTCTAGCTGGGGACGGGGAGGGGGTTTGGGATCTGTCCCTCCCCCTCCTCGAACCCCTAGATTTGACCCCCCCCATCTTCTCCTCGCTCAGAGCCACTACTCCATCCAGAAAGGAGCCGCCTTCCTGGGCATCGGCACCGACAACGTCCGTCTGGTGGGCAA